GTGGGGCCCTCGCCGGAGCTACGGGAGGCCCAGCCGGGCGCTGGGGACCCGCTGCGGCCCCACGGGCTGCAGCCCCGGCTGGGGGGGTGTCCCCTGGGCAGTGTGGTGAAACGGGGCCCTTGTGGGGGCCGGGGGGCCGGGCGGTGCGGTGAGGACCACCGCAAGTACGCCCTGCGCCGGACAGACAAGCCAAAGATGCTGTGCCGCCGGAGGAGGGCAGGGCGAGGGCGCCGGGCAGACATCACCCCTGAGAGCCGCGTCTTGTCCCCCCTCGGCCTGCCTGCTGAGGTGCCCCCCGGGCCCGAGGAGCCCGGTGCCCCACTGCTGGCCCCCCCGCCACCACCCCCCGATGCCCTGGACCCTGATGAGGTGCCCAAGGCCCCTGCGACAGGGAAGAAGAGCAAGTGCCGGGGTGTGAGGAAGATGGTGGTGAAGATGGCCAAGATCCCCGTGTCCCTGGGGAGGAGGAACAAGACCACCTACAAGGTGTCATCGCTCAGCAGCAACCTGAACCTGGAGGGCAAGGAGCTGGCGGCCAGCAGCTCCATGGAGCCCACACCGCTGCTCAAGATGAAGAACAACGGGCGCAACGTGGTGGTGGTCTTCCCCCCTGGCGAGATGCCCATCATTCTGAAGCGTAAGCGGGGCAGGCCTCCCAAGAACCTGCTGCTGGGCCAAGCCAAGCCCAAGGAGCCCGTCCCGGAGGTGAAGAAAAGGAGGAGGAGGAAGCAGAAGCTGGCTTCGCCCCAGCCCTCCTACATCGCCGACACCAACGACAGCAAGGCCGACTACTCGGATGTGCTGGCCAAGCTGGCCTTCCTCAACCGGCAGAGCCAGTGCTCGGGGCGCTGCTCGCCGCCCCGCTGCTGGACCCCCAGCGAGCCTGAGTCCATCCACCAAGCCCCCGACACCCAGAGCATCTCCCACTTCTTGCACCGCGTCCAGGGCTTCCGCCGGCGCGGCGGCAAGGCGGGGGGCTTTGGCGGGCGCGGGGGGGGCCACGCTGCCCGAGCTGCCCGTTGCTCCTTCAGCGATTTCTTTGAGGGCATCGGGAAGAAGAAGAAAGCCCCTGCCGCCCTCCATGCCGACACCGTGCACCCGCGCAAGCGGGGCCGGCCAGAGCCCGACCCCGTGGGCAAACCCAAGCGAAAGCGACGGGCCCGCAAGAACGGGGCGCTCTTCCCTGAGCCCAACCCAGGGCAGAGCTTCGGTGACGGCCCCGCCGAGTGGGCCGGGGGGGAGAAGGGTAGCCCCTGGGCCCCCCACCATGGCCACCCCAGCGGCCAGGCTGGCCGCAATGGCGGGGACCCACGGGGCCGGGGCGGGGCCCCTCCCGCCCG